GACAGCAGTGGGAGAGTGAGAGCGTTTCTGCTTGTGGCCAGCAGGGGGCAGTGCTCAACAAGCAATAATAAGACCGGCTTACAGAAACTTGCTTAAGGGAGGAAACGAGAAGGAGGAGCAAGAGCCAGAGGTCCTTAGACCAACACAGCTTCTGATCACATCCCCAGACCCAGGTCTCCCTTCTTTTCTGCTTCTTCAGCCCCCTTCTTCTCCTCAGCCGCACTATCTCCAACCTCAGTTTAGCAGATTTCATATTTAGTTCTTCCCAACTTTCCAGAGAAGACTGAGCTAAGGGATCTCCCCCTCGCTGCTCCCGTAGGCTCTTGATCCTCCCCTTCTATCTTGGCTTCCGAGATAGTCAGAACTCCTGAGTTTTTGGTTGAACTCATGACTGATGCTCAGGCACCCACATGAGGTGCTTGATTCCAGGGCCACCTCTTGGGAGGTGCCAGCATCCTCACTGGTGCATGACTGCTCTGGTGGAGCAAGGGCTGGATGTCAGGCCCCTTCACTCTCCTGGCCTGGCACCTTGTGCAGTGCACAAACTGTACTACAGTAAAACTGTACAACTGCTACTTACTACCCCTGAGGTACCATTTAAAGAGCATTTATCATGCTGAGTACTGCCAGGATGATCTCATTCAATCCTTGTGAGGCAGGTCTTATTATCTTTCCCGTTTTACAGATGAGGAAGTTGAGACCCAGGGAGGCATGTGGTTTGCTCATTATGGCACAAAGAGCAAAGGTGAGTATGGAGCTGGGACATGAGTCCTCTGGCTGCCAGGTGTGGGCTTTCACTCCCCTTTAGCACCACACTGCTGCTGCTACTGCTGCTGCTACTGCTGCTGCTGCTGCTCTGCCTCCCCTCTCCCCTACTCCTTCTCTACTTGCTTCTTTCTTTTCTCCCCGAACTAACATTCAAGGACTGTGACCTTCCTTCCTTCTTCTGCTCACAATCCTCACCCAGTCAGATTCCAAGAGCTCAAGAAAGGGCACAAAAAAAAGGCAGGAAGATGGTACAAGGGGCCTTCCAGACAGAGGAAGAAGAGAAGGCAAAGAAGGCAAGCACTGCATTGGGGATGGAGAAGGAAGGAACGTGGGTGAAATGAGGGAGTGGAGCCCCGTGCCCAGACTAGAAAGGGGCACAGGCAGGGCCTCCATTGTGTGGGCACAAAGGGACCATATGCCTGGCAGCCTACACAATGTGTGTGTGTGTGTGTGTGTGTGTAGGGGGAGGAGGGGGAGGAGTGGCTAAGTGTCCCCCCAAACCCCTGGGGCCCTGCTGTCTGCTCTGTCACTGGGAGTGGGGTTTGCTGAGAAAGAGGGCAGAGGGGAGCAATTACGACAGACAGGACTGGAGGGTCAGGGCCTGCAGTAACTAGGGATGGAAGAGGGCATGCACAGCTTGAAGGGGCATGGCCATGGATGGGAAGGGGCAGGAAGATGAAAGAGGGGGTGAGGTGCCAGAGCCCCACTTGCCTGGTGCCCTGGAACTGCCCCCCTGCCACTGCCCACTTGCTGGGTTTTGGAGGATGTGAAATGAGGACCCCAAGATGCATCCTCTTCTAACATTCCCTTCCTCCCTCCTCCCTGTCTGTTAGCCCCGGAGCTCTCACTTTCCCCTCAGCCCTTAGCCCTGGACTTCCATCTCCCCGACAGTCTCCTCTCCCAGAGCCTGGTCCCCAGCTCCCTTCCCCCTCCCACCTCCTTCTTCTCCATCCTGCAGAGGCAAGCGGCAGCCGAGGCCAATTGATTATCTGAAGAAATTCGGAGCTAGCGGTAGAACAGCTGCACCTGCCCCCTCTCCCACCCCTAGGCCCTGAGGGATCCCTGAGGGGAGGGGCCCTGTAGCCCCTTCTGCTTCCAGGGGGGCAGAGCGACAAGAGAGGGAGGCAGGGAGCTCGCAGGACTGTGGCTGCTGCACAGGGGAAGGCACAAAGCACTGGGAGCCAGGGAGGCAAGACATGGTTTCTAATCCCTGTCCCATCACCTTTGTGGACAGCAGTTACCTGCAGTTACCTGCCTTTAAAACAAACATGTTGGATTCAGCGATTTCTGTGCTCCCTTCCAACTCTTGCCCTTTGGAGTCCTCAGATTCTCCCTGGCTTCAGTTCAGCCCTCCCTCTTGCCAGGCTCTGGGCAGAGCATTTCATCTAATTCAGATTGAGAAGGAAAGAGGTTAAATCCTTCCTGTATGGGAGTTCCTCCCTAAGTCTAACTCAAACCTCTCTTGCTGCTGATGTCATTCTTTGCTCATCAGAGATGAAAATGGCACCCTTCAGAGGCTGAAGCCCATCTCAGCGTTTCCTTCCACTGTGTGCCTTCAGCCTTCTCAGATGACCTTGGAGTTTACCTAGACAGGAGTGTCCTCCCTGTATCCCCACATGTGGCTGAGCCTCCAGCCTGTCTATTTGGACTCCTCCTCCTTGAAGCAGATGCTTCCATTGCTGGACAGCCCCAGGGGTTGCAGTTTTTCTTGGAGTTAAAATCTGTTTCCTATAACTTCTACCTGCTAGTCCTGGTTCTGCCTCCTGGGGCCACACAGAATGTCTGTTTTTGTTTCTTCTTTCAATATTTGAAGATGGATATCATATTGCCCCTAAATCTACTCTTGTAAAGACACATATCCTCAGTTTTTAGACTATTCCTTCTGTGACGTAGTCTCCTAACCTTTTACCTTCTTAGCCACAAACTCTGAATACTCTCTAGTTTATCATTGTTCTTGTTAAAATATGAGGTTTATAAGAGTGCCATCTGTCATACTGGGTCCTTTCAGGGAGGCAGAGGGGCATTGGCAGTATAGCTATAAAGAACTTGGGTTTGAATTTTACCTCTGCCCCTACCGAGCCATGTGACCTTGGACAAGGCCCTCCTCCTCTCTGGGCTTTGGTTTCCTCATCTATAAAGTGATTGTAAGGTCCCTTCCAGGACTCCTTTGCTGTCCCTTTCAGCACTCCTTTTTATCCCTTTCCCCATTCCTCTGTTAGTCCCAGGTCTTCTATCATGTTCTCCCCAGGATCCTAAGGTTGAGGATCACAAAATGGGCCAAGAACTGACATTGCAAGGAATTCTGACCCAGCTCCGAGACAATAATGGGGAAGGCAAAGCTTCATGCCACGGCCTTTCTCAGCAGCATGGACCCACAGACACATGTTTAACTTGGGAACTCCTGGGACACTCAGCACCTTCTCAGGCCCATAGAGAGCAGGAGCAGAAGCACAACATCAGAAGGGTCAGAATGTGTCACCTCATGAGGGCCAAGATGGGGGTACACGGGACTTGAGGTGGGAAGGTCTAGGACCTGTGTGTTTTATCCTCTCCGGCACCTCTTTACTCTGTGGCCCCTTCTTCTCTCTGTCTTCATTTAACCATCATACTGAGCTCTCATGACCCCATCAGAAGAGCCCAGGACTCTCAGTGCCCACCCTCCCATAACCTGCAGGCCAGCTCCTCAACCCAGTCGAATGATCCACAGCCATACCTGGTGCTAGAACGAGGTCACTTTAATTTGTCTTTTTGTATGAAATCAGAAATGCAACAGGAGGGACTCACACACAGGACACAGGACACAGACCCCTAGGGCCTGCTCTTGGGGGTATTAGGAAGAAGTAAGGGGCACAGGGGAGGGCTGGAGAGAGAAAAGAGGCAGGTGGGACTGCGGTGGGATTGTCTGGGGATGGAGGGAACTGAGGAAGGATCCAGGAGCCCTGGAGCTGGGGTAGGGGCACCATCCCAGAGGACTAGGGTATCAGGACAGATGGATCTGAGGAAGGGATATGGGTGTGGTGAGCAGAGGGGATCCCCCCACACACCTGCTGTTGCAGAAGGAGCAAGAAAGGGAAAGGAGTAACCAGGGGGAAGCAAGAGAGCCGGCTAGGGTTGCCAGGAGCCCCCTCACTCTACCCCAAAGTGCACAACTCGGCAATAAATAGTAATATTTATAAATAAATAAGTAAATAAATAGATAAATAAATAAATACATAAATAATATCCTTGTAGAGCTAGGAGTTTGGTGTGAGGGAGGAGGGAGCGTGGGAAGTGCAGTGGGCTTGCTGCTGCCACACAAGTCCTAGGACCCTTCATTCTACTGCTGACCCTGGGCTACAGTGAGCAGGTGGGGCTCCGCAACACAGGGGGGCACAGCTGAAAGCAGCTTAAGGAAGGAGGAAAAAATGTAATAAACAGGCCCTAGGGCCAGGAGAGCTGCGTATTCCCAGAGGGCAGTAAGAGGGCATTCTCCCTGCAGCTGAGGGAGGAACCCGCATGGGTTTTGCACCTTTTCGTGGTGGGGTGGGATAAAGGAAGCAGAGGTGGGATCTGGCCGGTTTGTTGCCTGGGGCTTCTGCAGATTCTCTGGGCTGAGTTTGAGGACGTCATCCCCCCCCCCCAGGATCTACGTTTCCCTTTCTCCAGCTGCACACAGGGAGGGAGAAATCGAGAGGGTAAGGGTGAGGGGCCAGGGAGTAGGCCAAATAGCTCAGAGAGGGCAAGGCACCCACTACTAAGTAAGATCCGAGGTCTGTATGTGCTAAGCCTCAGGAATAAGATAGAAAACAGGAAATTTTTCCATAATTCTCGGCTACTGAGATGCCCCTCACAGGAGGTACTTCACCATGCACCTCCCTCCCAAGGGCCTGCCCCTCTCCCAAGCATGGCTAGACCAAGAAGTCTGAAGGAGCCCCCTCCCATCCAAGCTCCGCCTTCCTCCCTTCCTGTTCTGATGCCCCCTCCCTCCCCGTGGGCAGGCGAAGCTGGAACAGAGTGGAAGGAGGATGGGAGACAGAGTGGGGTCTGGGGTCTCTGAAAATTTGGACATAGGGGTAGAAGGGGCAGCAGCCCATGAGAGAGCTAGGGGGAGACGCCAAGTGGGGCCCTCTTAGTAAATCCAGCAAGGACTGTACACCGACCACAACTAGCAAACATTTCTACCCAGCTGGGCCCCAACCACAAACTGTAGAAGGTACCCATGAGAATAGCCTGGGGGCGGGGGGGGGGGGGGGGGCTGGGTCTGTAAAAGAAAGCCGCCTTCACCACCGCCGGTGGGCCCTCTGCCTGGGCCTGGGGCCTGTGGGACTCCATGCCGGCGTGCAGGGGCTCGGGGAGGAGATGGCCGTTCTAAGCAGTGAGCGTGAGAAGGGACCCCAGCGAGGCCGGGGAGGAGGGGCGAATCCAGGGCAGGAGACCGCCTGGTTCAGACGTCCAGCACGTGGTTCAGGTAGGAAATGTAGCAGATGGCGAGGCGCAGGATCTCAATCTTGGACAGCTTCTTGTCCGGGGGCAGCGTGGGCAGCAGCTTACGCAGCTCGGCGAAGGCCAAGTTGAAGGCTTCCACGCGGATCCGCTCCCGCGTGGCGTGGGCCGTGCGGTACTTGGCCGTGGCCCGGCGCCGGCGCCGCCGCTCCTCCCGGCTCAGGTGCTGCAGGTCCTTCCGGCCAGGCTCTCCTGGCTCCAAGCCCCGGGCGGGGCCCCCGCCTGGCCCCCCAGACCCAGCCCCGTCAGGGCCCGCCCCGCCCCCACAGTCGCTGAAGCCTGACTCGGTCTCCGAGTGGGTGGGAGGCAGCTCCAGCTCCATGCTGTCTGAGTTGAGCATCATGATGGAAGTCCCCTGCCCTGAGAGATCAGGATCCCCTCCCCACCCCTCCCTCTGGGAGCCTGAAAGCTGGTTGTGGGAGGGGCAGGAAGGGCCTGGGGTGGTGGGGTCTGCCACTGAGCTCGGGAAGTCGGAGCCACTTCAGGGTTCCATGGTCAGGGTTCCGGTCCGGTCCGGGAGCCTGGAAGAGAGAAGGGGAAATTGATAGAGTCAGAGGGAGGAGGGAGGGAGGAAGCTTTGACCTCGCCGGGAGGGGGAGGCACTGTAAGTGTAGCAGAAGAACGGCGGAAACATGGGGAAGGGCTGGAGAGGTGGGGCAGCTGGAGATTGTAAAGGAGCAGGAGGAAAGATGGTAAGAAGGGAAGAGAATCCAGAAAGTAAGCAACAGAAACGGAGAAGTGATGAGAAGGACACGGGGCGGGATTAAACTGAGCAAGAGTATTAAGGACCTAAATGGAAGACCTAAGACCATGCAGCTCCCGGAAGAAAACACAGGGGGAAAGCTTCGAGACGTTGGACTTAGCCGTGATTTCTTGGATATGACACCAAAAGCACAGGCAACAAAAGCAAAAATAAACCAACGGGACTACATCAAATTTAAAAATTTTGTGCATCATAGGACACAAACAACAGAGTGAAAAGGCAACCTACAGAATGGGAGAAAATATTTGCAAATCATATATCTGATAAGGGGTTAATATCTAGAATATTGTACATAACTTCTGCAACTCAACAACGAAAAACCAAATAATTGGACTTAAAAATGGGCAAAGGACTTGAATAGACATTTCTCCAAAGATGATATACAGATGGCCACCAAATATATGAAAAGAAGCTCATCATCACCAATCATTAGAGAAATGCAAATCAAAACAAACAAAAAAACAACGTAACAAGTGAACATAACAAGTGTTGGTAAGGATGTGGAGAAACTGGGCCCTTGTGCCCTGTTGGTGAGAATGTAAATTGGTGCAAGCACTTTGGAAAACAGTATGGAGGTTCCTCAAAAAAATAAAAATAGAACCACCATATGATCTAGTAAAAATAGAACTATGCTATGATCTAGCAATCCCACTTCTGGATATATAGCCAAAATAATTGAAATCAGAATCTCAAAGAGATATCTGCCATCCCATGTTCATTGCAGCATTGTTCACAATAGCTAAGATATGGAAATAACCCAAACGTCCATTGACAGATGAATGGATAAAGAAAATGTGGCATATACATACAATGGAATATTATTCAGCCTTAAAAAGGAAGGATATCCTGTCAGATGCTACCACATAGATGAACCTTGAGGACATTGTGCTAAGTGAAATAAGCCAGTCACAAAAAGACATATTGTATGATTCCACTTATATGACATATCTAAGTAGTCGACTTCATAGAAACGGAAAGTAGAATGGTGGTTACCAGGGGCTGGGGGGAGGTGGGGAGGTGTTGTTCCATGGGTGTAGAGTTTCAGATTTGTAAGATGAAAAAGTCCTGGAGATCTGTTTCACAACAATGTGAACGTACTTAATAGGATATTCTATTATTAGTAGTATATTCAATAGACTGAACTGTACTCTTAAAATGGTAAATATTGCTGTGTTTTTCACCACAATAAAAAAATTGTTTAATAGTTTGAAAAAGGAAAAAAAAAGTTGAGGAAGACTGGCGCCACAGCTCCAAGAGAGGCTGGCGGTGACTCTCAAGCTTCCCAGTCATGAGGGGAGAGCTACAAGCCTTGGCCCTGCAATCCCCTCCCTCCTAGGGCCCCTCTCCACCCTTGCTGCTTCTCTGTGTTGGGGGTAAGAGGGGATAAACACACAGATTGCCCATTGTAGACCGGACTGGGACATATGGAGCTCAGCACAGCTGCCCCAGCTCAGTCCCTCCCAGCCCACCAACCCCCCCAACACGACCACCAAGACACCAGATCCTACCACTCTGTCCACTAGAATCGGGAAGGTGTCTCCTCTGGCCACGACGCCCCGGCTCAGGACCAGCCCCTTCCTCTAGCTCTGTCCTCAGCCCCCTAAGCCCTTGCCATTTCCCGGCCCTTCCTCCGCAAGGAAGCTTTTGGAAAGGGAACATAATCAACTGTCTACTCCACACCCTCCCAAAGCCCAAGGTCAGTTCAGACATGGCCTGCAGAAGAGGATGTGAACAGCTTCTTGGGGCCACCATTATAGGGCTTGGCTAAAGTTTACTTGTCCCCAGGACCAGAGGAGGTCAGAGTGAGGCAGCAGGAACATGGCCTGGGAAAGCTGAGGAAAGGGCTTTGCTCTGGGGGAGTGTTAAGCAGGAACAGTGGGCCACTCACTGCGTGCTCAGCTGGACTGAACAGCCAGAAACAGAAGCGCTGAGGCTCCTTCATAGTCACTGTTTCCCCTTCCTCACCAGCCCTGGTTCTCCTGCCTGACAGACACCCTCACAGGGGTTAGGACCCCCACCCCCAGCCTTGCCCCACCCCACTGTACAAAAGACAGGCTTAATTATAGTCAATAAACAGTTACTAAGCTCTTGGGTGGGGGTGGGGGGGTGCAAGGTCATCAACATCTGACAACACGTACACCCATAACCATAACACAAAACAGAAGGTGGTTAGTCCTCATATTTACAATACACCCCATATTCCAAAGGAACAACAGGGAACGGCCATAGTGTGGGAGGCCCCAAAGTCAGCACCTTCCAATACATGTTCAGTGCCCCAACTCCCCACCCCCATGCTTCAGGAGTTCAGCTGTGAGGTTCTCAACACATCAATTACAGCCCGATTCTGCCTCTGCCCGGTCCCCATGTTCCTTCATCCCTGATCACTTTGCCATGCCCTCCCTTCCCCTCTATGTGCTCCCCATCTGACCCCAGTCTCATCGCCTTGGGCCCACTGTCCTCCCCAGCTCTAGTCCTGGCGGTAGCTTCCATTTCCCCATCAAGTCCTCACCCCAAAATCCACTTCTGGTCTCAAGGTTCCAGGCTCCGAGGATCAAGGAGAGCAGCAATTCCAAGCATCCAGGATAGGACTTCCTGCCTCACTTCTGCCATCCCCAACCCGACTGAGAATAAATAGGCATAAAGAGTCAAAGGGGAGAAGTGGGGAAGAGGGCGGTGCAGGGACGGAGAAACACACAGCGCATGAGAGAGAAGAACTAGAGGGAGGCTCTGGGAAGGGATATGAGCCAGAGAGTGGGAGGGACACGCCCACCCCTCCCCAGCCATGGTTCCCCCTTTACCTAGGAGGACCCTGTGAGGGGATCCAAGCTGGCAGGACAGGGGGCAGCGTTGACAGCCCGTCTCCTCTGGCTGCTCAGAGCTCATCCGTCTGCAAAGTTAGTGACCAGCTTTCTAGAGGTCTCGGGGGCAGCGTGGTGTGGCTGTACAGGTTCCAGGGCAGATGAGAGGGCTACACATGGTGGGGATATAGGGCCCAGGTGGAGGGTGTGGGCTTGGCCAGGTACTGGAGCCACCCACACTCACTCACACACACACACACACACACACTCTCACGGACACATACACACCTGAGTTGGCCCAGCCCTATGTATATATATGGAGATACACACACACACCCCCAGCTCTCTATTGGCTGGCCCAGGCTCCCCCCCCTCATCAATATTAAACAGGCAAGCCAGGCAGCCATTGGCAGAGGGATCTGGGAACCCCCTCGGGAGCTGGGGGCGGGGGCTGGCCCTGGGGGGGGCGGGGAGTGGGGGAGCAGGGACATCTGTTCTCCATGCATATTTCATAAGCAAGAAATGGAGAGCTGGGAAGGGGTGGGGCTGGGGCGAGAGCCAGGGCAGGATCACAGATGAACCCCTTCAGTCTCCCACACCAGAGGTGGCAGGGACAGAGGCCCCCAGCAAGCCAGGTTTCAGTGCCATGGTCCCATTCTGGAGTCCCAGTGTGACTTTGACAGCCCCTTCCCATGTCTCCATTTCCCTGGTAAGAAGGGTCTTCAAGAAACTGACAAGGAAATCTAGAAAAGCACAAGTGGACAGCTCTAAAACGCAGGAGAGGACCCAAGAGCCCTCGCCCTCACTGTACTCTCATTCTTCACAAAGCTGGTGCCCACCAGCCCCCTTGGCAGGCAGCCTGTGGCTACTGTTCAGGTCCCAGCCCTTCTCACCCTGGAACTCAATCACCTCACACCTTCTTATCCCAGCTTCCATCCTCCACCTACCCCATCACCAGGGGCGAAGCAGGGTCAGATTCCTGACACGGATCCCACGAGGAGTTTTTCTAGGCTGGCCAGCCTGACCTGACCCACTGGGAATTAGGGGCTCTTAGGAGGTGAGGGCTAAAATGAACGGAGTGGAGGAGTGCAGAGACAGGAAGAAGGAGGATTAGGACACTGGGGGAGGAGAGAAGGGCAGCCCAGGCAGGCTTGGAGTATGCTGGGGCATCAAAGGAGCAATAAGAAAACTAGATACAAAATTATATGCAAATAGGCATTGATTAAGTTCACATCAATAGCTCAGCTGCCTCCAGCCCATGCGTGCATGTGCATGCATGCATGTCTGAGTGTGTGTGTGTGTGTGTGTGTTGCAGGGTGGCAGGAGCAGGGACCAAGGGAAGCGAACTGCAGAGAGGTAGTCGGCTGGGTTTCAGCATCTGAAGTTCTCTCCCGGACTCAGCTGTTGAATGTCTTCATTGAAGTCTTCATTGATACTTTGTATCTAAAATGAATCATGGCTGGGAGGGCTCAGACCTGTGTGCTACAGTGAAGAAAGCCCTGTTGGCTGTTTGACCTTGGACAAGTAACTTAACCTCTTGAGCCTCTACCATCCTTTTCCGCAAAATGGGGTTGATTACAGCTGCTTCTTAGGTTGCCATGGAGATGAAGATAATGCATGTAGTGGGCTGGGACCTTAGAAGGAGCACACCCCACCTTCAGGCTGTTGGAGGGATTTGCCATTTCCCTGTTGCTGATGAACCTTTTCTGGACTTTCTCCAGAGTGAGGCATTCCCTAAGGGGAGTCCTATAATTCCTCCCCAAGCTCCCCCATCCCTCCCCACCCCAAGGTCTGGGAGGTGCCAACTCCCACCTGGGCAGGCCCAGACAGGTGCCCAGGCGCCAGCAGATGGGCTGAGCTGGAGGGGAAAGGAGGCTTGGGAAGGGGGGTTGGGGGGGCAGGGGATCAGGTGGCATCTCAGTTCTTGCATCATCATTGCCATGGTGCTGATTAAAAACCAATCTCCACCTAATGAGCCCCCAGCAACAACAATTCTACCTCCCCCACCCTCCTGCCCTCCACCCCATCCAAGAAATTGGGAGACCGAGAGACTCAGGAGAGAGTACCATGGGGAAGAAAGAGATACAGAATGAGTGGGAGATGGAGAGGAAATGAAGGGGGAGACATGGGGAGATAGAGACCCAGAGAGGGAGAAAAAGGATGAGAACACAGTCACTGGGTAGCAGACATGGGGAAGATACAGAGAAACAGGAAGACAGTCACAGGGAGATGGAGACATAGGGAGACAGAGAGAGAAAAAAGAGAGGGTGGGAGCAGAATTGCCAGGTTACCTAGGCTTTGTGGAAGCTCAGAGCTGCAAGATATGGGAGTGTGAGGGGTAGGGACATGGGGAGAGACTTGAAAAGAGGAGGAGACTGTTAGGGGAGACACAGACCTGGGCAAAATCCAGCTATGGAGAAACACAGCTATTCAGGCATAGACTACACTGATCCTGGGAGAGAGTCCTGAGGGAGGCCCCTAGACAGGCTGGAGGCATAGACATGGGGGAGGCAGAGCACAGACAGTTGTGAGGATACAAAAAATTCCCAGAGGCTGGAGACAAGGTGGGGAGACCCGATATACAGAACTGTAGAGATGAGGAACTGTTACTGAAACGGGGAGGCCCGGATTCCAAGGATGAGGCACTGAGGAAAACAAGCAGACCTAGAGAGACCCTGGAAGCAGGAGGGATCTGTGTGGGGCAGTGCATGACGGGAGGGAGGAACCAAATTCCTGTTCCCAGCCTCTCTCCTTGTAGGCTGTTGAGTTCAGACTCTTCAGCCCTGCTTCAAACCTCCGTCCTTAAAGTGCCCAGCCCAAGCTGTCCCCAGTGCAGGCTGAGGTTTGATGGTAAAGGGAGGTGAGAGAATGCTTTGGAGACTACCACCTCCTCCTCTGCATCTGTCATCCCGGGATCCTGGACTCTGAGGCCCTCAGCTCCAGTGTTCACTCAGGGCTTCAGTTTTTGCTTCTCAGGGGAGTAGCTAAAAAGATCATAAGCGTGTGATGAAGAGGAGCTAAAAGCATGGAGCGGTGGAAAGGACTACTGATTCCACTGAACTTGGGGCCAGAGACCTGGGGCAAGGCCTGCTGATCTCGGATAAGTCACTTAACCTTGACTGAGTGTGTTCTGTCATCTGTGAAATGGGGATAATGTTGCCTTCCTCATAGGGCTTTTGTCACATAACGCATGGGAAAGTGCTAGGTAAACTGAAAAGCGTTCACCCCAACCCCTTACATTTGTGCATGGTGACTTAAAGGTGGCAAGAAGTTTCATACACGCATGTAAATAAGGCATTAGGATGGAAGGAGGCTGGGGAGAGCTCTCGAGTCAGCTTAGGCTGTCAGCAGCCACGGGCCCCAAGAGGGAAGGAGAACGCCACGAGTTGTGGGGGTCTTTGCTGTGAGGAGGACAGGACGAGCAGAGCCTGGGGATAGTGGGGATGAGTATGGCGCTATGGTTTATTGCTATTTTGCATTTAATTGGCATTCTCTTTTTCAGACTGTTACAGGCTCTTTTCATTTCCACATAGCATTCGAGGTAGTGAGGTAGTTTGTTAGAGGAAGGGGGTTGGTGTGTAAGGAAGACACAGGGGCCGGGGCCCAGTCCTTGAAGGTGGGGGGAGGGCCTGGAGGAGCCGGGAAGCGGTGGGTTTGGCAGGAGAGGGGGTGACATATGTGGGGAGCCCTGGGGACCCAACCAGGCAAGCGGCTGGCAGGGAGAGCAGACGGTGTTAACCCTCACTGTGCCACACTGCCTGACCCTTCCCCGGGAGTGGCCTGTGGCTGGGGTGTTATCTGGTAAGAGACTGGCCGGGTCACAAGAGCAAGGCAGGCAGGAGGAGCCTGGGCAGGAGCTGCTGTGTCCCTGGGTCTTCTTCCATCTTTGAGGTTCTCTCCTTGCCTGCTTCCACATGGTCTCTGTCAGTCTGTCTTTCTCTGTCTCCACCTCTCTGTGCCTCTCGAAGGTGACAGCGGGTCTCCACTCTAGCTAACTAGACAATCTGTCACTCTCTCTGCTGCCAGCCCGGCTGGAAGCCCCCCTTTTCAGCACCCGGCCCCTGAGCCCTCTCTCTGCCCTGGCCCCCTAGGCCTGGTCGTCTTTGTCTCCTAAGGCAGCCTCCCCTTTCTTCCTCACCACTCACCTCTCCCCAGCTCAGAGCCCATCTCCAATCTCATTACGGCCTCCAACCACTGCACCCCCCCCAGCTTCTCCTCTTCCCTCCCCCATCCATCTGTCTTCCCTGCAGCTCTCCTCTTTGTGTCCACCCATCTGTCACCACCAGCTCTGGGCCCACTCCCCTCCCGGCCACGCCCGCCTGGCCTTTCTCCCCTCAGGCTCAGTTCCCTCGCAGCACTGGCCTCGCTTTCCTCCTTCAGCCCTGCGAGGCTTCCCTACTTCCCAGTTTCCCTTCACTAGTTTATTTTTTTCCAGACACTCTCTTTCATCTCAGTTTTTCTTTTCTCCCTCCAGTTTCTCTAACTCCTCCTCAGCTAAGTTGGGGGAGAGAGTGGGGACTCTTGGATCCTAGCCCCCAGCCCCTGAGCAGCCAGCCTGAGACAGAGGCTGGTAACATTTACTCAGGGTTGCATCATCTCCTCAGGCCTCCTGAGATGCCCCTTCACTCCTGCTCCAAGTCGTCCCTTGTTGGGACAGGGCCTACAGCTGCCCTTCTGCACAACAGGGGTGGGGGAGCCCCTCTACCTTCTGCGTGTGGACTCAGGAAGGAATAAAAATCTGACCTGAGGCCCATTTGGACCCTGACCTTCCAAAGGTCTCTGCTTCCCAAGCTCGACTTCAGCAATTCGTGTCAAGTGTTTTTTGAGGATGGGAGGCTGAGTTTTATGTTCTCTTTTCTATCACGTCATGCTACAATCTCCCCAAATTCCTACTGTCCCTGGGTTAGAGGACCTTAAGTGCCCCTCAGGCCTCTGTCTCCAGAGGGAGAACTTTCTAGCTACCTTAGAGATTTCATGAATTGATCAACCCTTGAAATCAGCCCCTGCCCTGAGGAGTGTAGATGAAAGGGAGAAGGGAAGGGAGGCTGCACAGAAGGGGATTGTCAGAGCCAGGCCAAGGGGACCTCAGAGAGCAGCCCCTTGTTTGACTCCACCTTGTACAGATGAGAACACTGGGGCCCAGAAAGGGGGAATGCCCTTTCCAAAGTCACACAGAGCGCTCGCAGCACGCTAGAAAATCTGGTCCTGAGCTCTTCCCACAACAATGTGAAGCTCCTCCTTACTGGCCCCACCCAAAGAAAACCCTCC